AACTGCGCGCTGACGATTTGTTTGATTTACGATCTGGACAAAACGTTTAGCAAGTTCCTAACAGGAGTGCAAAGCTAACTGAAACGTAAATGTACGCAGAGGCAAGTGTGCGGAAACTGGCGATTGAACGCTGAGAACTCGACAAAGATACCTCCGAGACGTTGTTTCTTGTAGACAAAGTAAGCAAAACCGACGAGCTGATTTAAATCACACATATCTAAAACTGGAGACGATGGACGAAGAAAGGGGGCAACCCACGGTTCGTCCCAGTACGTCCTGACTCGTATTGTGCGTTGTTCCCTTTCTTTGTCCGTTCATCTCCGGCTTAAATGTATGCAGTTTGCTCCGTCAATTCAATATACGGTTCCTGATTGTTCAAACATCTTGTCAGTGAGAAATGACAATCGATAAGCATTTCGCTCTTCCCCAGAATTAAGACACGCCAATGAATGAGCTGTTCTGTCACGGTATGCAAAGTATACCACCCGATTCCGCTTGGAGCTTACTTATCACACAGAATATATATATATATATATATATATATATATATATATATATGTATCCCGTAAAAATAAGCGTTTGAACCGATATCGTATACAGCGCGATAATGTTAGCGCGAACATGACCATGGTGCTTTTACTTCGAAAGGGCACCGGCGGATATAAAAAAATTACCACTTAGGCTAGTGCCCAACTAAGCACTTTCTACCACAATAGTAGTTTTGATTAGAGCGCTTCAATACTGAAAAAAAAAAAACAAAAAAAAAAACAGAGATGATCGGCGATGGCTTGTTCGTGCTAACAGTATCTCGGAATGTGCATCTCACTGAGAACTGAAATATAACATATAATTACGCTTATCAATATGGGTTCTTGTGTTTTTTCTTGATTACGTTTTTATCAAATTTTAAGGGGAAATAAAATCAGCTGTGATTTACACCTGCGCCGCGTTTAATGTTTCAACTGTCAGTATTTTGTTTTTTTGTTATAGAATCAATACGGTGTCGTGCAATGAGGCGAATCTTTCAGATCGTAAATGAGAATTAACATTGCACTCACGTCGGCGTAAAACCGGGAGCAGCAGCAATGCTAGAGTAGGTTTACTTGCGCAGCAAGGATTGCGCGATGTCTAAAAAAAAAAAAAAAATCGTTACCTAAAATTTTTTTTTTTTTTATACGCGCACGTTTGCGGCATTTTAGCGACGTTGCTGTTAAAGGGGCACTCGGGCGATTTCTTTATGGTCCCCGATTTGACTGAAAATTTGCTAAACACACCAACGAACGTCGCTGAAATAGTATCCCAAATATTAGATCAAAATATTTATCTCCGAAGTTATTGAATTTACAATTTTTTTTCCTCACTGCGTTTTTAAACCGAAAGTCTCTATACTGGCACCAACGAAAAAGGTGACGCCAGGGGAAGGCTGGGGTTCACTCTTATAGGAGAGTAGAACTTGTTCCTTACTGATTCCAATCAGTTTAATGGTGTCAAATGAATGCTCCAGAAGCTCACTCCAGCGTACTTGCGCACCAGAACGGAACAAATGCTTGCATATGCTATGTTTTAGACCGCTTTCTCGACTGACAAGCCTGCCTTCCCCTGACGTCACGGCACTGAAAAGTGCGGCTATATCTGAATGCTGGTTTTTGCTACATTAATTGCAACATTTGCCGATTTCACAATAAGTGTTATGAATTTCGCGATATTAAATAGCATACCGGAAAGGTAAAACGCCGGGGATTCAGAAGAGACAAAAAAGGGTGGAAAGACACATGTACACACACACACACACACACACACACACACACAGCGCGCGAGCACAAACGCAGATTAAAAAAAAAAAAAAAAAGAAACGAGGCAAATAGGAGATTATAGATGTTTTCTGTTGTTCTCAGTCATGTGGGTTCCGTATCTAGTATGTGGGACGGAAAAATAATAAAACATTTCAACCTGGAATACGCGAGATAATGTAGATGAGGCAGAACAAGAATCGTAAACACCTTCCAGCGGCGTGGAGAGATCAAAACGATGTTTTACCGCATACCAGAATTGACAATATTAAAGATGGCTGCTCTCTTGTGCAAACGGTGTAAAGAGTGGGGCGTCGGCGGCCTAACGTATTAGAGCAGCACGTGGAGCCAGAGCTCGCACTGCATAGCCCTGTTTTAGCGGTCATCTGATGAATGCGGCTATGCCTCCGGGCAGAAAAAACCTCCGCATGAGAGATTTTTTTTTTTTGTCACGTGACCAATTTTATAGAGACAAGGCACCTATAGAGAGTATGCACTGCCGGCCATAGATGTGTGCGCACCTGCCGAGCGCGTGCTGACGGCGAGCTTCCGCAGTTTTTTTTAAACGTGCATTCCGCACCATCGAGACTGCCAGTCTGAGCCGGCAATTGACGTGAGGTCGTTCTGAGCATGCGCTCTAAACATGGCCTTCAAATATGACGTCCAGTAAATACACCCTATCAAAAAAAAAAAAAAAAAAGAGTTCCACATAAATTATTTTTTGCTACGTTGTCAAGGCTAGCGTCACTTCCTCGGTGCTGCAGCTCAGCACTGCTGCGAGAGGACGTGGCATCGTCTTGCGTCTCATTCTCACCTGCTCTCGCGTGAAAGAGACGCCAAACGAAGCGACGCGCAAGTAGCTTTGGCAGCGTTAAAGCACTGTGGAAGCTGCGCCAGCCTTGATGTACGCAGCACAAAATAGTTGACGCCGAGAAAACAAAAATTGGGTTGTGTGTATGTTTATACAGCCTAGAAGTTAGTCTGCTTCAACAGGGACTTGTCTCTCAGCTATGAGCAATTTAGCCACTGCAGTACAACCGCTATAGTCTGGGTTTTTTTAACGTGCACCACGCAGTAGTGATACACGACCGCACGCCGGTACGATGCTCATCCAGATCGCAACGGGCGGTATGTGGATCGAACCCAGGGTCCCTGGGTTTTGCAGCGCGAGCTTTCGCTCCACGTGATCCGAGCTGGTGTGCGCTAGACCACTCGGCTACCAATCCCCCAGTTGACGCCGAGACAGACAAATGGCAGTCGCAATTCCGTCCTTGCTTCGATTATTCAAGTCCGCTTTTTCTCGCAGAAAAGGAGTAAACAGGCTTGAGATGCAAGTGAAACGAATATCTTTTCTGTACTTAATAGCAGCGGCATGTAAAGACATATTTTGGGTAAGATCGTGTTAGACGAGAAATAAAGGAAACAACAGGCAAGGCTTACTTCTATCGAGCGGAATCGCTGGGAACGCTAGGTACTTCTTGCCCTTTGGCCCGGCTGTGTGACCATCAAATCCCTCTTGAGGAGATTTTAGCCGTGGGGAAAGAAGCCCGCATTCTTCAGCAAACCGCCCTGGCATGGGACCCCGTGCTCGGTCCCCAGCACGTATACCACGTACCCCATGACGGTTGCTTTCTGGACGGCCATCGCGTGTGCTAGTGTAATACAAATGGCAGTGCGGGTCGAATGGAATCACATCAAGTTAGTACCTGTACTACACAGGACAAATCTATCCACTGTACAGCTTGATGTTATACACCTCCATACAACATACTAAACGTATTTTTCACGAGTGATAAAAAAAAAGTATCAGGAAAAGAACTTGATGCAAACAACTTGGGGTATTAAGGTTAGGGAGAGAGAGAGAGAGAGAGAAAGAGGGAGGGAGAGAGGGGGGAGGAGAGGAGAAAGAAAGAAGTGAGAAAGACAAAAAAAAAACAGCAACAAAAGGCTTAGTAACGGTTCGAGTAATGTCTGTAAACCTATCTTTCGGAGGACACACTCTTCGTCAACACTCAGCACTCAATAGAGATATACGACCGGTGAGCCCTTCTGTGTAAGGAAGTCTCTTTGGTAAAGATATATGTATAGTTGGTAATACAGACAAAATTAGAAAATCGAAGACGTCAATGATTCTGCAGTAGGCACGTGCAGGTTTCTGTACGAGTTATTCACGGCTGTAGAGTTTACTTGCGAGTGTATGGTGTTTCATTACCCATAAAAATTACTGGTGCGTTAGTGAGTAGATTGGCTGTGCTGTGCGTGGCGTAATTCGTGAAACAAGCTAAGGTCACACATAAAGACCTTACCTTCTTCATAATTAACAATAAAGTAAAACAGCGCTAAAAAAAAAAAAAAAAACGAAGGACAAAAAGACGAAGCGTACAAACAGAGCGCTGACTCTCAGCTGATTTACTAGAAGAAAACACGAATTGACAAGCATCACGGATCATAAAAAAACATGAAGTCACCGCCCCCCGCGCGTGTCAAACCTGCTCAAGAATGTCAACTCTTTGTAAAATAACGCGATAGAAGGCGAACTTACGCACCTTTCTTTTAACTTCGAAATATAGGCCTCTCCAATTTCCCTCATCAGAGCGGGTTGACTTCAAAAAAAGCTGGCTCTTGCACGGAGTGCCCGGGACAGTTTAGGCGTGTATCGTCGAAATATGTGACGCAGTTTTTCGTTTGCCGAGTTTCTATTCCAAAACCTCTTCCAGCGAGAGCTGGATCGCGCGAACCGAATAACAGATAGTAACCAAGTGCGGCCATTCTGTCGGCGCGGCGGTGTTTGACCGCCTTCCCGATCGGAGAGAAAAGAAGCCTCTCTCGGCCTTTTATTATGCACCCATTACTCCATAAACGTAAAACTTTACAGGGCATACTTTACACCGGAGCGCGCTCTCCTTCCCTCGTCGCTCGCGCGCATTCTCGTTTTTTTAAAGGTCGTCGCGCGCCTGTAAACACCGAAATAAACGCTCACGTAACGGTCGTTTTTATAGGCATCCCGCCCAACTCCTCGGCAAACTTTAATTGCGGCCTGCCGGCAACACACACCGGCTCGGATCAGAACGAACAGGACGGCCGATAAAGGACGGATGAGCGGCGTACGACCACGTCCCAGCGGTAGCGTCCACAGCGGCCCGTGCGGTCAGCCCGGCGGTCCGAGCGCGAGCCGGACGGCAGGCACGCGTGCAGCTCCCGACTCCGCGCACAGATGGCGGTAGGGGCATCGTCGAGCTCCGTCGAGCCGCGCATCGGCCAGCCGAGCGGCACAGCGAAGCCGCCTCGGAGCGCGCGCTTTGCGGGGAAGCGGGAGAAGTGGGGGAAGGCGGATCGAAGAGCGGGCGAGGGGAAAGAGGAGGAAGGGCCCGCCGAGGGCGAGGGCCGAATAGAAAACGAAAGCGGCGCAGCCGCCAGAAAAGAGGGAGTCGCGCTCAAACAGTGATCATTGGGGACCGCGCCACGATGCCGCGGCTCGCCGCCACGTCGTCGTCGTCGTCGTCTTCCGAACGTCGCGCGCTGCCGACGCGCCGCGTCCTGCCGGTGCCCAGCGGGCCATTGCCGCACGTGCGTGCTCCGAGTGCGCGTCGTGGAGTACCGCCCCAGTGGGGCTCGTGCCCGTGAAGCGAGCGAGAGGGGAGCGGACAAGCGGGAGACCTGCGTCGGCGATGGTCCCGGCGCCGTCGCTACTACCGGACGCCGAGCAAGGACGCGGCAACCCGCGCAGGCGGCGAGCTACGCTCACGGCAGCGACGCGAGCGACGATGGGCTGACGCCGTCCCGCGTGACGGCGGCCCCACAAGCTCGGCAAAGGAGACAGACCGCGACAACTCAACCGAGTTCTGGACGGACAGACCCGTCGGACGCTGCCGAGTTCATCTTCCTCTTGGAGCAACTAGCGAGACAAGGACCAGATCGAAGAGCGTTCACATCATCCGTCGTCAACCCCGCCGGGGACTACCCGGCCCCCATCATCACCAGCTTCTGCGCCGCTCGTTTGGGCATTTCGCGGCTCTGCCCGGAAACAAGCCGTTGCCCGTCGCTTGGAGCACGCGTCCACTGTGAGTACGCGCTGTTTCACCTTAAGCCCCTCGCGTTTTTTTTTTTTTTTTTTTTTAATTTGCGATTTTGTTTTTTTGCGCAGTCCTTTATAGACTCGTCCCTCAACCAGTGATGTGCCGTCGATACGGTCGACCACGAGTCTTCGCGCGCGCTCACCGTCCGGCAGTGTTGTTGCCGCGCTGACCGCGATGCAGCGGCGCGTGCTTTCGGCGTCCGTCGTGAGAAATTTACGAGAACGGTAGCTCCGGTCCGGGAGCTTTACGAGGCGAAACCCGGCCGAGCCCGTCGGATCCCCCGTTCGTTCCTCGTTGGCGCGAGAGCCCCCTGCGTGCGGTTTTAAAGATGGCCGGATAAATACACGGTGTCGGCGTCATTGGACGGCTTAGGCGCCGTAATTTATACACCGCCGTAAAAAAACAACAGTGCTTCCTCTTTTCTTTCTGCTTTTATTGACGCGTCACGAGCGAAAGAAAAGCGCAGGGACAGGTTTGTTTGGCGACCCGTGCACTCTGCACGCCCTGCACTGCATGCACTGTCTGGCCCCGATCGCGCTGCTGTCGTGCCTTGAAGCCGTGCGGCCACGCTTCCCCGCCCTCACGCGATATTTATATGCCGGAATTCTGCTTTTATTTTAGTTTCTTGCTCCCCCCGGTTCGGGTTTGACCACTGATTTCGACGGCTTTCCTGGTCATGATATATCTTAGGCCCCCGTAACTTAGAGTGGAAACAGCTTCTCTGAGCTCGGTTACCTGATCGCAGAGTGGTTGGTCACTTGGCCTTGTCTTAAGTCCTTTGGTGCTCAGTGCAAGGACGTATATTTAATAAATGAGTAAATTAAAAAAAAAAAAAAATAGGAAGGGAAGCTGCTGCAGTATTTGTGTTTTGGTCCTGATACTACTTAGAGAGTCCATAACGGTTCATGAGGGATAAGTGAATGGCGTACGTTCAAATAAAAGCAGTTTGAGTAGTCTCCATGCTGAATGTACAAAGAGTTCACGTCTCCCCTTAGTTCGATATCTTCGTACTGATGTGTTTTCGTGACGTCTCTCTTAAAAATGTATAAAACGAACAAGCAAAGAAACCTGCGTTAAAAGGATACCCCCTTTCAGAATTAAGTCACGCAGTTTTCGCACATCAAACATGACAGCATCAGTGCAATCTACAAAACAAACCGAATTAAAAAAAAAAAAAAAACTGTGTTCTTGGAGAATTGTAGGAGTCAACCATCAACGTCATCGATCCACTCCAGTAACTTCGCCTGAACGCTTAACATTTCAAATTTCTCCATCACCTTTGCTGCCTTTACTCACAGCCTAGCAACGATGCTATTCTAATGTCTATACAGATCGGCAGGTCACTGCATGCAACGCCACGCGTCCATGTCTCGATCGCGCCGTTCTTCGTCCAGCCAAAGTGGCGAGCAAAGTGCACGCCGACAATACATACACACCACAGAGCGAGTCGCTTTCTATGGCGAAGAGACCTGTGCCGTCCACGTGCGTGTTCTATACGGGAGGTGTCCAGACAACAATATACCGTTCGTAAAGTTTCATGGTTTTCGGAACGAGGCCATTCGTATCGGAAAATACCGTTTCGGTTCGGCAGGGGGGGAGGGGAAGGGCGAGGGAGTTCTCACATAAAGATCGGCTTGTATCTTTAAGATCGGCCGTTAAGTGCTGCATGGTCAGCGCGGCCTCTCCCTCTCCTCGCTTCCCTCCCGCTTTCGCGAACAACGGTTTCTGTTCTTACGTGATACTGACGGCCGCCCTATGTGAAGCGATCCGATAAGTACTGCATGACTGCATGCGCCTTATAAAGCGCGATATCCATCGGGTATATCAATGCGCCGGGCAAATAATGTGTTTATGGGCTGTTTAGCCTTTGTCGCTCGCACGCTGCGCTGCTGGCATACCCGTTCGATAAGACGGCTATTGCTGATGCTGAGGCTTATACATGCGTACAAGTAAACAGGCTTTTCTATGGTCGCATACCTGCAGATTTGGGTAGTGAATGAGCGTCCATGTAGTTATCAGCGGGAGTGTAAGGAAAGAGAAAGCTCATATTTAGTTTCTGTCGCGCGAGTCATGTTTAATATGTGGCAATCTGAAATATTTTTTCTTCTTCGCCAGTTTTTCAAGTGGATAGGGAGTGTGACCACGTCCAATTTCAGTCAGTCTGGAACTTTGTTGGAAATGAAGGGGTTTTTGAGTGTAGAGATTGCGAGTGGGTGACCTCGCGATTTGGGCGATTTGTTTTTGTATACGTTTCAACGCGAAGTGTCGGCAGGTATATTTATCATAGTGTGCACAGTGTTGGATCTACGGGAGATAAGTTTATGTGGATCAGGAACTCGGTGCGCCTCGAAATGGCGTGCTATGTAGAGAAGGACCCCGCACGAAGTAAACATACGACCGCTAATCTGAAGTCTCGAACGTGCATCACGCGCTCTAGGGGGTTACAGGAATGCTCGCCGATAAAAACGTTCGTTCGCACCGAAACCGTTGCGAATCGAAAACGAGCTCACGGTAGTGTGAGAAGATAAAAGAATCCTTAACCACTATTTTACTCGAAACGATACCACCGACGTATCGGTTTACCCGTCTGCAGGGTGCCTCGAAAACGGGACGGATGTAATTCTCGCAAAATCAAAAACCAGGAAAACAAAATAACAACCAGCACAACCGGTGCATCGTTTTACAAGCGTTGACAACCCGTTGTCAGTACAAGAATCAAGCGCGAACACAAAGCATAAAAAAAGAAGAAAGCATAATACCAGCAGTACAGCCCTAACAGTGCACATTGGCCGACGTTCGAGCGTTTAAGAGATTCCTCTTACAATGTAACATAGCACGCGGAAATGGATCAATCCAAATCGAGATTTCGTGTACAGAGAGCTCTTATCTGCCCGTCTATGTGGTGCCATTGTTTCCCACGTGTTTAAAAGCGAAAAAGAAGAAGAGAAAAAAAGGCTGCAGCTGTGTTACCTGCACATACGCAGTTGCTGTGACGTACCCGGCGGAGCTTGAGTTGTCGCCACTCCTGTTGTCGAAACGCTATAGTCATCGGGAAGGGAGGACCCTTGGTGCGCGGGCAGCCATTAAGGGTTTCATTTCTTGCTCTATATGGTGGGGCAGGCTTGAGGAAAAAGCATCCAGTTGCTCGAGTCTGTTCCTGCGTCAGAAATGGGGGGAAAATATTATTATAGATATTCATTACTGCTCAGGGAGGAGTTCCTGTAATCATTGGAGCACAACAACTCGCGGAACGAAAGGCCATTAAAAATTACGAGGTAATTGAAGCTTGTAAAAATCCTTTTTTATGTTTTTCTATATTATTAGCCGCCTCGGGAGGATCGGAGACTTAGTGTGTTGGTGTGCACGCACACAACAGCTTGGCAGCGCGAATTTTGCTCTGCAGATTTTAATGGGACTTGGATGAACTGGAATACAGTCATTACTACGCGATGCATGTTAAAGACCTCGTGTCAGGACTCGTACTGCGCCGACTAAATTGAGGAAAAAAGGTATAAATGTCAATGTACTTCCCGCTGTCTAAGCATCATCGAGTTTTTTGCCTTTTCGTTGTTGTTCTAAAGCTACAATTTTGATTTCATTTTTTGTTTCAATTATATTCAGCTTTTGGTATCCATAAAATTGAAAACAATTAGGCTTCGTTTGCCGAAGCGGTATCCGTATTAAAATAAACTTTTGAGCATGACAAAAATTAAATGCCTGGAGACAGGATACGATTTGATAGGAAACGTTTTTACGACTTTACCCGCCCAATGCTTACTCGAACAATTTTTGTGGGGTTGTTTCGTATATTTAGTCTCCGCAATTTAGCCTCGCCAAGAGCGGCCAACTGGAATATGATTAGATTTCAAAAGGTTTCAACCATATTTGGCGCTTCTTAAAAGAAAAATTCAAGCCTGAGCGCGCGCCGTTCACAGACACACAAAAAAAAAAAAAAAAAAAAAAAAAAAAACAACGAAAAAAACCTAAAGTTGTCGACGTATTTTTAATATTTACAAAGTCCCGCAAAAGGAGGGTAAATTCACGTTACGCGTTGAAGCGCCGCCAACCGCATCGGCCACGAACTTAGAAATGATAATAGATGCGTCATAATTCATAACTGGTACGAACCGCAAAATTTATGTCGCGGCATAAACAGGGTCTGGAGACACGGGGAACCGTCGTGTATTACCGCGCATGCATAAGAAGATTCGCGATTCCCACAAGAAACGCGATTTTGCCTGGAATTTTCCCAGAGGTGTGGATTTCGTGCTGCGCGAGTCGCTCAATTACGATCGATGACACGCTAGTCTTCGCGTCCCTTCCGTGCTTGGTTTGGCACACGGTGGTTCGCGAGATGGCCAGGGTTAGAACCGTTATCGGTAGGCCATTTGCGAAACGTTTTTTGAAGGGTGGTTGACAACTTGCTTAAGCCAGCGTTCAATTTCGATCCTCGCGGCCGTTGCATAATTTAAAAATAATAGAGTTTGAAAACAAAAAATCGTTGTGCTGCCGGTGGGCAGCTGTGGGTCGATTCCGCGAAACCCGAGCTATATAATTGTCCGATTGTCACGCAGTGCAAGCAGCTTGCGATGTGAAGCTTCGGTCGCTCACACAGCTACGTCGTAAAATGACACGGCGTTTGCGGCGGACACGGCGACAGAATTACACGAGGGGAACGCCTCAAGCAGGCTCGAAGCTTACCTGGGCTTCGTACATATAAAGTATACGCTTGAAATAGGTGTGTAGATTGAGTTTGTGTATAAGAACACCGTCATTCAGAGGAAGTAAGACGACTCATACAGTTTCGGCAGGCTGTCTGGAGCGATAAAAATGTTCGGGGCTCACCAGGCCTTTCTCTAGATATAGACTTAGACTTCAATGCCTTTTTCTAGATATAGGTGTAAGTACAGATTTCATCGGCTGCAGCAAAGTAGCCGGCTCTGCACAGACAGTGCCGACGTCTGAAAAAAAGAAAGGTGATATTTATTTGAAAAAGAAGAATATATATACAGCCCTTTTTGAGTTGGCGTCCTGCTGACGATTAGTTTCCCCGCAGTGTGCCCCCGCGTTGATGGCTGAATATTGACCACGAGGCGACGCACGGTACGGGAATTGGGGTACGTCGTGTGCGCCAGGCGTTTTCTGAACCTCTTTGTGACGGTAAATGTTTTCAAATTACACGTGTCGGACGACCAAACATCGGAAGCTTGTCGTGCGTCTAGGCGATGAGTTTTGAACCCCCCCCCCCCCCCTTTTTTTTTTTTTTTTTCTTGGAAAGTATAGTTGCTAGAAACAATGGAGCGAATACAAAAAGAATGGCAGTTTTTATCGGGGGAGACACCTGAGTTGAGCAATGTTTTGAGGATGGGTTGAGGTGTAAATGTTCTTGTGGTGGTATACACTGGGACTTGTCACGAGTGCTTTTTTGGGCGACACACCGCTTCTTCGTATAATACCCATCGTTCACACACTCTCGGGTAGTTTGCGATGAGTGTACGTTGGTATACTCTTCGACAACTTCAGAAACGCAGGTCGTGGATAATTATGTTTATGCTTCTTGCCTTGTGATTCGCTCTTTGGAGTTCTTACCGCAGCTATCTGATTGGCTGCACAGCGAAAGGCAGATGCCCAGAATTCGCAGCACCCTTCAATTATTAGTCTGTTTCGTTGGCTTTTAGTACAGCGGTGAGCCTAGTACAGCGGGCCCTTTTCAGCGCTGCGTAAGCGTCTCTTTCTTTTGTGTGTATGTTGACTAGAGTGACTGTTTTCCGGGTGTGCTGTTCCCCCTGTACATCATGAGCAACTAACACGCCCGAACCTCTGTGTTAACAAGCTGACTTTTCGATAGCAAAATAAGCGGTAAGCGGTCACTTCAACGAATGAGAGGACTCGTCTTCGACGGGGCTTTTGGCAACACTGAGTACTCCCGAGGGCCGTTCGTTCCGTGCGCCCTGACGTCACGAGCTCTTTTTAATGCGCAGTACAGGTACTGCCGCGTGGTGTTCGCGCTGTCCGCGCTTTCGACGTTCCGGGAATATACGTCTGTCGCTCGCCGGCCTGCACTCGCAACTTCCACGACCACAGTGGCGCCTATCAAAATTGCTATCGTCCGAACAGTCCAGGCGGAACAACTGCATACGAGGTTAGGTCCGTGACGAGTAAGCGATTCTAATTTCGTTAAATGCGAGCGACATTTGAACCTCGCGTCATCATTTCGTGTCAGGAATGCGTATATGAGCGAGCATACTTATTGCTAAGTCGATCGTCTGGGAACTTTAGGGAGTGGGATTCTCCTACCGCGGTAACATACATCACCATCGCCGGAACTTGCGAAGAGTGAGCCCCGTGCCTGAGCCCGGCGTGCCCCCCTTGTGCAGGCGGTGCGGCGTGCCCGAGTGCGCCCGTCGATCCCCGTGGCCCTGCCCGGGCGTGCGAGCGATGAACGGCGGCCTGGGCGGCAGCAGCCTGTACGAGGACACAGCGAGCCGGTCGAGCCTCGAGGCGGCGCCCCAGCCGCTGCACATCCCGGCCAAGCGGCTCGCGTACGGCCAGGCCGACTGCGGCCCGGATCCGATGGCCAGCGCGGGGGCAGTCCTAAGGCAGCCGCCGTGGGCGTCCGCCTGGCCCTCGGCCGCCGACGCGTTCGAGGCGCCCCACCACGTGCCCAGCTACCAGCAGCAGAGCGTCCGCGACTCGCCCTACTTCTACCCGGACCGCAAGCCGTCCTCCTTCAACCTGTGGGCCTCGTCGGCCAAGGCGTACGACCTGGGACCCGCGGACTCGTGTCAGGCGTACGCCTCGCAGGCCTGGTGCCCGTACTCGGCGGCCGCGGCGACCTACCCCGTGCCCCAGCCGGCCAGGGTCGACCCCGCGCCCACCGCAGTGCCGGCCTACCTGCAGGCCGCCGACGAGCACCGCGTGGCCCCGCCGCCGCCGCCCGTGCCGCCGCCCGTGCCGCACCCGCCGCCGCCGCGCAGCGACGGCTTCGCGGCCTACTCGGACGGCTACGGGCTGAGGGCGGCTGCCGCCGCGGAGGCCCACGGCCCGCCGCCCTACGTCCCCGCCGGCACGGGTGAGTGACGCCCCTTCCTTCCACGCGGCAGGGATCGTGAAGGGCGGACGCGGGCAGCAATGTGCGGCCTCTCCCGGGGCATGACTCGAGTGGTGCATCTTGTGCGTTGTTCATCGGGGAGATGACGGCTCCTCGTCTAACCGATTGGAGTGCACCTGGTTTTCACCGGTGCGTTTGCTCAGGGTCGCTGAAAATGAGCACCTTCTTCTATAGGGCTCAATCAGGTCGTTGTTTCACGATATCTGCGATGAAAAATAAGATCCTGAATGTGATTCGAGTGAAAGCCACGAGGGAGGTCGTTGAAAGAACCTAATGCTCTGACGCAGCGTAGGAGCGTAACTCAAGTTGGCGCAGTCGAGATTACTTCACATTTGCCCGATTTCCAAAACAAGGGGTATTCGTCGCTCGAGTCACGCTTCAGGGGACACGATAGTAGCTGCGGCAGTGTGAGAGAACTGGAACGTCTACTTTCCCGCAGAGCACTTGGGGGAGCCAATGGCTGAAAATATGTTTGTGTGACGAGAAACCGAGAAAGAAACCGTTTGGCAACTGAACGCGTTCGATTGCCAAACGCCGGCGTCCAGCGTTCCGCGTTCGCTTTCGAACGCGTTCGAAGAGTGAGCAGAGACGAGGACAGCTCTAGCTCATGCGTTTACCCACTGATCATTCGAACCAGAGTTCGGCGTTCTAACGCCCCCTGGCACTCTCGTCCCCTCGTCTCCCTCATTTTCTCGCAGCATGCATATATATAAAAAAAAAACAAATAAATAAACAGCCTGAGCTGTGACACTGATCACGACGCCATGCTCAATGTCACATCATATATACGCTGCTTTTTTTTAATGTCTGAACAGAGGTTCAGTTTGTTCATTCGCTGAGTTCCCTCCTTAGGTTGAAACAGTTATAGCTGTCGTATCTACCAAGTACTTTTGCGGAGAAGTAGAAGCACCTGATTGTTTCGAACTGTGAGCGGTGTTTTCGAGGGGCTTTTTTCCGAGGTATACTCCATACGCAGGTGACTGCGCGGTGTCTTAAATTTAGTGGTTGGCTGTTTCTGCTTCTATACGGTCAATTGACAGTTTTAGAAACGAAGGGCGTGGTTTCTTATCGTCACGCCTCGTGACTCGTTCCTCAACGCTCTTACCAGCTGATGCCTGAATCTCATCGGCTGCGAAGTAGCGAAAGCACGCTCGGTTCGTAGACCCATCCACACCCTGCCTTTTTTGAGCTGTCGGTGACCAAATGGTGGGACTATACACCGTTAGGTTGTCCCGTTTCGTTGTCACTTTAAAACGACAGGGTATGGCCAATTTTCGATTCTCTGGTTACTGTAAACCCAGTGCAATCGCAGCGACACAGAAACAACGTGGAGCCGAAGAGCGACCACGTTCTGTCGTTTGTTTGATGGCATACAGCATGCACGCTAAAAACTATACCGTACGTCTATTTTCCCGCTGAGTGCTCGAACAGCTCTATATCGCTGCAATGTATAGACCAACACGCGGCTCTGACATCACGCCTCTGCGGTGGCGCTGTTGTCGCCACGGCGCATGCGCAGAAGCTTCCCCTCACGCGAATCTGGTTTCTGCGCACGCGCAGTGCCCACACCTGGTGTGGGCAAACGCGGGCTTGTTTGTAAACAGCGTGTCGGTCTATACGAAGGGAGCTCGGCGAAGGACCACGCTGAAATTATGTCTAGACCATACGAATAAGATCTGCGACTTGGCGTTGCTGCATGACGTTTGAGTACGATGGAACGTCACTCTCTGTATCACATCGCAGTGCTTATTTTTAGATGTAAACTTTTTTTTTGTCATTTGCCGATATTTTTTTTTTATGGATACGTTGCGATTGGCTCTTGGAGTGCTCTGCGTGAAAGTATACGACTAAGTACTTTTTCATGGTGCTTATGCAGTGCACAGTTACGCCATCTTGGTTCCGGTGGTTTTTGTTGTGTGTTCGAAAACGATTTAATACGAAGAATAATACTATTATTTCCATCAGAGCAAGGAAGAATGTGAACAAAATTTAAAAAGGCAGAAAAATTAGGTTGATGAGCTTTCTCTTCCTTTGAAATTAACAAATTTAAAATCAAGAAGGCAGCATTACACGGCATTGCGCGCAGACACTCTGAATAGACCGAAAGCTAAACAAATGAAAATAAATACCTAACACAGTTAAACGGAACAAATATTTACGTACAACAGTACGCGACACTTCAAATCCTCCGAAATTCAAACACAACATTTAATTTAAAAAGATGCAATTTTTATATAGTGATGCTCCTATCAAAAAGTGTTAACCTGAATTATTCTTTTGATATAGATTCCAGTCGTTCATTGCGATAGACCTATTGCTGAATGACCCAAGCATCGAGGAGAATGCTGGGAATGTAGGTCTGCAGTAACTCTTCTAAAGCAAAAGCCTAAAACAAATGATATCTGCACGCGCTTTCATCAACGCCTTATTTTGGTTATTTACTTCGGATCTTTCTTACGGGGAAGGCGAGCACGTGGGGCACGTAGACTTACATTTCCAACATTATCTTTCATGTTTGGGTAATTTAGCAGTATGTCTAGTTTGTTTACTTATTTCACACTGATAAATTCTCTGAGTTGCCATGTTACGTGCGGGATATCTGACCGCTGTTTACATACTTGAACAAGAAGATGCGCATTAATTCTTATTTTGTGTTTGTAGATTAAAAGGAAAAATAATTGGGGTTGTGTGGATATTTTTACAGCGTGTAGTTGGTCAGTCATTTCAAAGTTGCGACGAGTCTCCCAGCTGTAGATGAGAAATTTAGCCAGTGCAGTACAACCTCCAGGATGTTTTTTTTTTTAACGTACATCACGTAGTAGTGATACACGACTGCACGCCGGTACGATGCTCATCCAGATCGAATCAGGCAGGAGTAAGGATTGGAGTTTGAACCCAGGATCCATGGGTTTTGCGGCGCGAGCTTTCGCTCCACGTGCTCCGAGCTGGTGTGCGCTAGCCCACTCGGCCACCGGTCCCTTGATTAAAAAGAAACTGAAGCTGTTCTGTATTTGAGGAAAAACACTTAAATCGTCTTAATTTTGCCTTCAGGATCACGGATATCCACATTATCTTCTTTTCAATTTGGTGGATGGAGGTTGCAGAAATTCATTTTCAACGTACCGCTGATGCCCCTCCTTCTTGGAGCGTGACGTCATATCCACAGTTTTCGTAATCTCCGTTCTTGCGGATCTTCAGCGCCTATCACGTGCACTCCTGCAATTAAAAAAAAAGTAAGAGGTTAGAAAATTTGGTATTGATTGGTGTCAGTGCGAGGCAATATACCTGACAAGCTTGCAATTGCATGCGCTGCATGCACGAGCGACACGGGCTTGGCCGCCGAAAGATCTGGTTATGACGTAACGACCGGTCGGAGGTTTTTTCGAGTTTTCTCGCGTTTAGTTACATCTTCGGGGAAAACTAACGTGATATTCAGATTCACAAGATAAAAACACCGTAAAACTCTTCTTCAACTCGTTTTTTCAAGAGCCTCTTCAGCTTCCCTTTCTTCCCTTTAAAGGAAAGCTCTACGATGCTTAGAGCCTGCAGACTTAGTTATCACCATATTTAGGCGATCTCAGAAACCTTCTCAGGGCACCTTTAAGCTTACACAATATGTGCACATGTGATGCATGTAGACTCTGTCATATTTCTGAGAACGTGGAGCAGAGGGGTGGTAACAGTGAAACATTCTCGATACTTTTAAATTTTTTTTTTCAATGGGTACATACTTGCAGGTATTTCAAAATGGCATTTCCTAACACAGAATGGCGCTAATTTGAGTGGATAAGATCATTTGTCCTATATAAGAAGTTTGACTGTAAGAGAAGATATGGGAGGATAAATCAAAGTAGAATAAAGTATTGTTGATAGTTCGTCCCATGTCACCCGTTCTGTAAAGAACACGTCAAGCGCTTTCAAGGCGTTAATATTTTTATTTTTGACTTCCCAACATGATATAGTTTAGCAACGCGTGCGTACATTTCTGTTCTTGGAGCGAAAGAAAATAGCCTTCGTTTTATTTGGGCTTATTTTTAATGCATAAGACGTAGTTTAGATTTTTATATGTTTCGTCATTAGTTTGTAGCGATATCTAGCAGATAAAAATAATATGGCATCATCTGCACAACGTTCGTAGTGCTATTATACATTTGAAATAGTATTAAATATATATTGAATAAAAACTTATCGAGAACGCTCCCTCGAGACCGACCTGATAAAATTATTTTTTTTTATCAATCGAATTACTAGTTATTTGTAGAAATTAATTTGAACTGCGCGAATTCGATACCAAGAGCCACGAAGCTTTACCGCGAAAATCATACCCCTCTAAGTTTTTTTTTCAATATTAAGTCATTTTTTAAGAATTCGAAGGCTTTTGTGAAATCTACAAAAATGTCAAAAGTTTATTCTTCTCTTCAAAATAATGAAAAATAAAATTTTCAGGCATACAATAGGGCGAGATCTGTTAACCGATGTTTCTGAAAACCGAATTATGAAAACCGAAGAACTTACCTTTGGTAAACTTTTGACAGAACGCGGGTATCTTGCTAGAGGTATGCAGTTCCCTATGACTTTTTCTATTCCATTTTCATACGATATTAATTTTTGCGAGTTGCATTCGCTTAGGGAGGCTAGGCTTCTATAATCAGGGGTTAAATTTATAAATTAGACATGGTGGGTATCAAATTTAAAACGTATGTCACGGATTTAATCTTGATACCATCTGTATCGCAGCTTTCACTGTTACCCCCTCCCCTCCCCCCCAAAAGAAGAAAAAAATACAGACATCACCTCAGTTTCTACTACTCGGCTAAGAAATAAAGATTTGTTATTTTACACCCTCTATAAGCTAAAAATATTACCGTCAAGGCCGTCTCCGGCTAGATCGACAAAGTGATTCTTAAATGCATTAACGAAGCAGCTTTCCGCCCGTCAGTTCTTTTATATTCCAACAAATT